AAATCACAATATTGTGTGTATTAAAATGCAATCCAAAAATTGTGTTAAAACCATCTCAAATTTAGACTTAGTATTACACCTGTTGTCATAGGAATAATGAGCGAAAGAATTGTAAAGCAATAACAACTTAAATACACGCTTAATGAGTTAAGAAGATTTATTGAAAAAATTGAAGAAATAATACCAGGAAAATGAGCGTTGTTTGTTTAAAGACAAAACACCCTATTAAAAATATTCCCTCTAATCCATCTTCCAGTCGCTTCAGAAAGATTGGCCCGGATATTCGTGAAATCCGATGATGACTACGCAAAAATGCCGCACTGACATAACTAGTAGTACTACATTTTCGAACAGACTCTCGTGTTGTTGTTGGTTACCGTTTTCTTTGGGTCGGGTCTACCTCTTCGGTTTTGCCAAAAACCCTTTCCACCTACCACCTTCTGAAGACTGAATGGACTCCCGTGGTAATTTCCTTGACGACAATTTTCAGTGAAGAGAAAATGAGGGTTTTCCCAGAACATCACGCCCAGACCAACGAGACACGGCCCCCGCGCGATTTTTCTTTCCTCTTCATTGTCTATCCTTATCCCTTACTAACACACACACTTACATGCACTACTACCACACATAAAGGCGAACAGTTGGGAGCTTGCAGCTTTTCCCAGCAGGAGCGGTGCATCTCTGTTGGGAGATATGTGGATGGGGAAAGCCTTGCAAGCTGACGTGAAGGTCGGCGTCGGATCTCACCATCCAGCTGGGGAAGAACACCATCATATTTATGTTATACTGACACTAAGTTTAGGAGTGTCCAACTCTTTAAACAGTTGTTAAACGACCACTTGGGAGGCGGGAGAAAAATAAATGCATTGTTTCAATGCTAAGAAATAGGGGGAGCACTGCGTCATCGCGCACGAGTGGAACGCAGGGGTTGGAGGGGTAGGGGGAGCCATCGCGTTAAATGCCGCGAGGGATGGCACGGCGAGGCGAACGCTCTTCCCAGGGGAAATGACGTGATCGCAAGCGCAGCGGCTTCGAAACCTCTCCGCCCGTTGCGCTGCTTTCGCCACCGCTGCCCTCGCCGTCGTTTGTACCCGTGCCTTGAACATCGCCTCCTTCATGGCACTGGTCGCCGAAATTTTGCCGGCTGGCCCACGCTCGCAGCTGCCTTCTCGCTACTTCCGTGAAGTTGGCCGGAAAAATATGAGATTTTAACCAAACGCGGCTCATCATTTGCCGTGGTTGACCACCCAAGATTGTCCTTCGCCCACCCACACAAAAAACGTTTGACTCAAAAAAACAAAACAAAAAAATCGGTCCAATTCCACGCTGGCCGGCAAAATCCAGATATTTTGACGGAACTTGATATATCGTTTGCTGCTTCCACAGTTACCAAGGTTTGCCCACCCACACAAAAAGTTAAACGCGAAACAGATTTTCGGAACAAAATTTCAATCCTCTGTTCCTTATCTACCTACACCCCATCCTGAATTTACCTGCTACATATTGGAGCGTGATTTAGCTATTTTTTGTTATAATTTCCCTACAATAAGAGTTTTTGTCGAAAAATGGCCAGTTTCCGCTGCAGATTGCAATACAGCGAAGCCTGACTTAGGTCTAAAATTGACTCATAAGAGCATTTTCCTAATTTTGAACACAAAATGTTGCCAAGCAGACCTTAAAATGGATTTGGAGCGGTTGAGAAATATTTTACCTCTTCAGAAGTAATTGGAAACTAGTTATCACCAAATATTATTATTTTTAAAAATATGAAATCTGAAGCATCGTTGGGAGGCCCTAGCGTTCGAATCACGGCAGTGATAATTTTTGACATAAGCTCGATAGAATTCAAATAGTCTGGAGGAGAATTTTATCAGCCGGTTACTTTGATCGGTAGTTTTTCATGATGTCTCCTATCAATGCTTGGCGAATGCCGAATCAGTTCCGTAATAAATAAGCCGCGGAGTAAATGTGATATTTTCTTCCTCACCATTGTCCCTTCTCTCCCTTTCACACACGCTCATATCTATTCACTACTAACAACACACGCTAAAATGTCAGTCTAAGTTAGAGCTTGTCCAGTTAGGGCGGTTAACATTGAAAACGTGGAGAAGAAATAAACTCGCTAGGGGTGAGAAATAAAATCTCGCGTGTTAACTGCTTCCTGTTACTTATCTCTTCTCTGCTGATCATTGTCGTCGCCGCCATTTTCTCGCTGTGTGTCACTAAATTTTGTAGCAGAACATTCTGCTTGATAGTGCGTACATTATTGTCGTCGTAGTTTCGTTAGCATCCATAACAATAAAATGAGTAAACTTTTGCGTATACCGCACAATACTTCTTATGACGATCATGTAGACAACAACATATACTAATCAAAGTTTTACCTAACCAATACAATACTCTGCAGCACTTAGTCTAATTGTTTCTTTTCGATTGATTATGTAGTTATATGTAAATGCAGTGCGTGTTTTTTTCCTCGGGAGGTGGTGGAGATGTTACTCTGCTGGATGGCGAGATCCGGCGCCGACCTACCGTAGGTTAGCGGAGTTTTCCCAAACCAGGTATCTCCCACCAGCGGGGCACTGTCCCAGCCAGGACAAGCTCTAAGCTCCCGACTGGTCTCTCAGCATGTGTGGTTGTGTAGTGCATGTAAGCGTGTGTAAGTAAGGAGGTGAAGATAGGTTAAGGAAGTAGAAGAAAAGATGGCGAGCGGTCCGTGGCCCATTTGGTGGTGTACTGCTCCGGCATTCGCCTGGTATTGATCGGAGAAACCACGGAAAACTACCGATCAGAGCAGCCAGTCGCTAGAATTCTCCTCCAGACAACGACAGAATTCGACCTAGGTGACAAGCTAGTGTGGAAAATCCTGCCACAGCCTGGACTCAAACCTAGGCCCTCCCGATCAGAGGCACTGCAGTGACATCAGTTGATGCCCTGAGCCACCTCTCCCGGTGTTTCTTTCCGAGTGTCCTGCTCTTTGCGTTTCCTTGGAGCCGCCTGTTGTCGCCCCGGACGCCAAGGCGAGGCCGCGCGCGGGAGCGACAGAGGGCGAGGCAAAACGCCATGATTGATGCGGCGCCGAGCGACGGCAGGCGCTGATGATTTGTTAACGATGCCAACAGCTGCCGCTGGCACCCCGCTTCCCCTCCTCTCCCCGCCGCCAGCCGGCAGCCGGCTCTGCGATGGCAGCCGGCTGGACGTACGACGACCACGCCACGGCACGTCGCGCCGCTTCGAATCTGCTCCGGCCACGTCTACTCAGGTCACGGGCAGCGGAACGAGCTTATGAATTAACAAAGGGATTCGTGGGTAGGAATCAGTCGAGATGGGTACACAGAGCGATTTTCATATAACAATAGTTTTCAAAACACTGATGATGAATTGTATTTCTCTGCTTTCTCTCGTAGTTGTTTGTTGAACAGAAAATAACTTCAGAAGTGTGCCTAGGAGATGAAAAACATTACGTAGATTACGAGACAATTCCAGGAATATGTTACCATATTTAGATTTATACAATATTTACAAGGGTTGGTGCCATACACAAATTACTAATGAGTTTGGCCGGTTATTAATACTGAACAGAAATAAGGGTAACCCAGGTTGCCGTAAGATCTAAGAATTACGCTAAGGTACGGAGAACTAAAAGAAGGCTATTTTCTGACGAACAATTTTGACAAACTCGCCACCACCTATATAAAAAATACTTCCAACTAGCTACTCACATTGTGATATTACGGACTCTCTGACTGTACCCTTTTAAACATCTGCCATCAATTATACTAAGGCATACATAGAATCTCCAGCAAGAGTTTTGATATGTGTTTACGGCCAGTCTCTTTGACTAGGTCGAATGAATTCTTCTTGGATTCAGTAATTAGGGCCCAGGAATTTCTTTTGATTTTTTGAGTAGCTCATCCTCAAGGTCGCAATTAGGGGGGCTACCTCGGGCGCCGAGTTGGGACGGGGTCGACAGTATACTAGAAATTTTTCTGTGTATATTTATGTGTGATACAAAATTAAAAAAAAATATATGGAATATATGGGACATGTAGCTTGATCATGAAGGTGATGTGAACCTATAAAATGATGTATGAGATATTAAGGACTGCGAGAAGCACGTTTATGATAACGGATTAAACATGGCCAAATTGCACAATGGAGTTCAGTTTCAAAATCAAGAATAAAATAGTTTGGTAAATTTTGCTACGCATTCTTGTTGCTGTGCTAAGTGCTGCTTACTTTGTTGGCGCAACTGCTGCTAGCTTATTTACAGAGGTAGAGTCTTATGTTGGCATCCTTCGTTGTCAAGTTATCTTCAGAACCATCATTTGAGAATATTGTAAACATGCTAGCATAAGAAAACCGTGAAGTTCGGTTTTTCATATTAGTCCTACAAGTTCATATTACAATGGCAACCTGTCACTTATGGTGTTCATCACACCTCTTTATTTTCAGAGAGGTAATCAACTTTGTTTCAAAAACTTCTAAATTAAATGTTATTCATCTGTCATGTTTAAGCGCGTTAATTTCGTTTCAATATTTGAACTTTCGCTTTAACTGGAAGCTACAAATGGAAGAGGAAGAGCAAAACTAGGACTCTCCTTACGATAAACCAGTGAATGTTCGGAGTTGTAAAGGAGAACTATGGAAAGGAAATTGAGGATCATTTGTGATTCCAATATCCTGCTGAGGAATCTGAGAACCCTGAATTGAATTAATGCCTTATTTTACGTGGCGAGACTCAGGCCATTAGGCCTGCTCTTCCGTCTGACCACGCAAATTTCGCTACGCTCCTTTCACCAACTAGCAGAGAAAGGAGGTATTTCTTGAGCGAGAAACAGGCGATTTGAATTTAGCTCAGAGGCGTCATTTAGGCTTGAGGATCTTTTACATGCAAGTAAATCTCCGAACATGGGACAGCCGGCTTTACTTCCCCTCCGAAGGAAGGCGTACGAAGGATTTTTTCGCTGAATGGACTTGTGTAAATAAAAACCACGTAGTTTGCTTCAGAGAAGGAGTTTATTAGCGATACAGAGCAGCAGAAGCGGCCGCCGCCGCCGCGAGCAGGCGAAGAGGAAGCGAAGGGGGCTCAGCGGGCGGCCTAGTACGCGTAGGAGCAGTTGTCCTGGTCGGCCATCTTGATGTCCTCGCGCGCCACGTCGTAGCTGGAGAGCAGGTCGGCGAGGGCGCGGCGCGCGTCGTCGTCCATGGAGGCCGAGCGGCCCCACACTTGCGCCGCCAGCGCGCGCTGGAAGGTGCGGGTGGACGCGTCGTACACGGGGCGGCACGCCAGGAACACGGCGAACGTCTTGTAGTCGGTGGCCACCACGCTCTGGCCGAAGGGCTCTGCTCAACACGGGCAGAGGGTTAGGACACTCGATTTATACCAAAAAAACACTTTCAGCAAAACGCTGGCGTATCAACTTATTCACCTAGAGCAAAGACTTACCAAAGAACATACAAATAATAAATGAGGGTCGCAGTCAACGAAACAGCAGTATAATTATTTGACATCTGTGAATAAGTTGAGAAGTGGAGAACACAAAATTTTACACAAAACTATCCTGTCAATTTGAACTAATATTTTAGAATGAATAAACAGACAACTGGACATACTTTTTGCCAAATCATTGTTATAGAGTGAATAATCAGACAACTCCACTTTTCTTGTGAAAGTTTGTGATTTTTCGATATTCATGTTAGTTTTTAAATACACCTACGCCCACAACTCCCCAACTAGAAGGAATTTCACTTATTCGATATTGCACCAGCAAGAAAGCAACTAGAATAATCCAGACGTCCAATTTATTTTGAGCGAAAACTGACTTATCAACTTATTCACCAGAAACTAAGAATTACCAACGAACATACAAAGAATACGGGGGAGAGAAATGAAAAGACAAACCGTGTCAAGTTAACATCTAGATAATTAGTAAATACATATGAATCATTAAAAGTGGGTAAAGAATAAAACTTTGTACGTCGGGCGTTAACTGGTTCTTCTAAAGATCTCGGGCGAAAAAATGCCTTCGGACTTTTTGGCGTCGCTTGGTCATTAGATCTCTTGCAACGCCCTCGGAGCACAAACATTAAATCCATCTCGAGCGAACAGGGGGCTACTCACCAGAGTACTCCGTGGTGCCGGCGCGGCGCCACACGCCCAGCGAGAGCGCCCCGCGGTGCGGGTTGAAGGCCTGGCTCTTGGACTCGAGGGCGTAGGGCTTGCCGTCGCGCGGGCTCAGCGCGTTGTACTGGATGTCGTAGAAGAGCTCGTGGCCCTCGAGGCGGGGCTGGATGGTGAAGCGCGCGCAGCGGGACAGCTGCTCGCCGAAGAGGGGCGTGCCCGCCTGGATGAACCACTCGCCCGCCATCTTCCGGGGGTCGAACGGAGTCTTGCCTGCAAGCGGCCAAGGAAAAAAACGAACTATTTGTAACGGTCAGTTCGTCGATGCTACGCGCCATCGCTCCGTGCATCGTTCCCTTCGGAATCAAAGTATCTTGGCAGTTAAAATTGAAAAATCAATACTCCAACGAAATCATAATATTCGGTTTTTGTACATTTGTGTACAAAATCGTATCCATCGAAACGATTGTATCAAAATAAGTACTCCATCGAAACTTTTTTTAATGTTACTTTTTTTGAAAAAGCGTTACATTGTTTTTTCTTGCTTATGTTCATGTTTCTGGGAACTGATAACTTAAACAAATATTGATCTTTCATTTTAGATACATAAATCATATCATTTACCCAAATGAGTAGTACTTGAACCTACGTGTCTTTTAAACTTGTATCTGTTGAGGATTGGTTACGTACATTTTAAAAATAGTTCTTTATCTGATATGACAATACTCGAAGAGTACTTGCATCAATCGCGGTTCAATGACGGATTCATGGCTCATTGACGGAGCATGGGTAAATGCCTCCCCTATGCACATCAAACATATTTTTAAAATAATCAGTGTGTTTGAAACAACTGCCAAACGAGTATCCCCCTTATGAACACATCTATTTTCGATTTTCAAGCTAACACTTTTTAAAAAATCGCAGAAATATATTTGAACAGAAATTCTCCTACCTCATTACTCAAATACTTTCAGGAACCATCAATGACTTGCCTTAAGCATCGATGTTCGAAACCAAAAAACGGAGCATAGCCGCCCATTTTACCTAAATTGATGGGGCACTTTCCGCGGAACGAGCTTCTGTTGGCGGCCACGGTGACCAACAGCGCCGCCAAGAGGACGAGAGCGGAGAGACGGGCCATGCTGAAGCGGAGGCTGAAGCTGAAGCGAAGGCGAAGAGGAGCGAAGCTGCAGTGTGCCTTCTGGGACCCCTGCCGCAACCTATATACCCCCCAAGTCGCTGACGTCATCTCCCAAAACTTATGCGATTGAATTGAATAGGCAAAAACAGGCAAAGATACACCCATTGAAAATAAATGCCCGACGGTTTGTGAATAGTGTGAGTGAATACGCTCTATTAGTTACGCATGAGCGGAAAAGTGTAAGATCTGAGGTCAGTGCTCTGAGCGAATAGTAGTCTCCTTTTACCAGAGATCTCTTTCAATAGGTTTTTCAACAGTATGTATTGGAGGCATTCTTTTCAAGTGCTACGTATATCTAAAGACCGTCCACTACCGTGCGAAGGCTAAGGCTGCTCAGTGAACTGATACTTTGAAGCTGTTGCAGAATTTTATCATGTCACAAAATTATTTGGTAGAATGATTTTAATCTATTGCGATATTTTAATCTATTGCTTTTAGACCACTTTGCTTTCATTTCCAGACCCAGTAATTTTGGCGAACAGGTGGTGAGTTATCATCACAGAAAGTTTCTTGAATATGGTAATAAATATTTACATATGTTCGATATAGAATTATGTACTTCAGATTCAAAAGTTCCCATGATAATTTTGATAATCAAAGTGAGTGTGAACGTAAAGTATACATTTTTCCTAAGGAGTCATTAAACGCATCAAGTGAATTCTAGATATCACAATATCTGGAAAAATATTACACTCTTTGGCTTGAAATCTATTATTTCATAATTTATAATAATAAATTTTAACATTTATTTTCACATTCATTTGCCTGAGTTTGTGAACGTAGTACAAAGATATTTGTGATAATTTTTTCCATAAAAGTAATTATTAATTTGAATGTGTGCATCATTTAACTATTACATTAACTTTACTTAAGTTCATAGAATTAAGAAACAATAAATCTGATTACTCAGTTCGCATATTTTACGTTCATCATCGTAAATATACAAAATTAAGAAAGGATGGAAATCTATTTAGACATAAAAAGAAAGAACGTAATGTACGTAAAGAACGTAATACATGAATGTTTTAATTTTTAAGTAGCCTATGGAACTGGAAATCTTATGGTTGAACTTGAAACCAGTTTGAATGTTTATAATACGTTTTAGAAACACCTACGATCATTCAAAAATTGAAGTATCACTAAAGTGAAAACTGCTGTACTGTTCACCGATAAACACGTTTTACAATCAACCTCCAGGAAGCATGGAAATTTTCTATTAAGATGGGCAGTCGAGACTAAATTCCTAAACTGCTGCACAAGATCAGGGAAGAGATAACGTTGAACAGTTGAACAAGTGACGATGATAAAATACCCCCGCAAATTTAAACCGCCTTTCCTTTCCAAATGTGTTTAATTAGATTTTTGGACAGTCACTAATAAAAGCAGTACTCTGAGAGCACACGAAGGTTCAATTTTTAGCACTAGTGCTAACCGTGAGACGATGATCAAATGATCAGATAAAACTGTGAATGCAACCAAATAAACAAAATAATTCTGTCTGACAGCATATGCTACTATTGAGCTTACTTAATGCATCATTAAGTTAAGGTACCCATGTGCAATTCCACACAGGCAAATGGGCCCAGAGGGGAGGTGAAGGTATGGCTCCACCTATTAATCGCCGTCGGCACAAGGAGGAGGTTGTGTGGCGAGTACTTCTCCATGTTATCATTATTAAGGAATGTTTATCTTACATGTTATAGAGGTTGCATTCAGTTTCAATGAGATTTATTGTTTCGTCTTCGAGTTGATTACAAAGTGTACAAATCTATATTCCATTTGTGTGATAATTTATTTTGTTGATCGTATCGGATTGATCGTTTCAATCATATTAATCAGTACCTCGTAATAATTGAATCAATCATTTTTAATCGTTATTGTATTAATAGTAGTAGATAAAACTACTAAATATGATCACTACTCAAATCGTTATCCTAAAATTATGTTCGAAAGACTTAAGGAAATAGATTGCAATCAAAATCCACTAAACGACAAATAGAACTGGGCTACCCAGATGAAATCAGCACTGAATAAACACGGCTTTACTACTTGTGGGAATTCCAAGATCCGATACGGAAGATTCGTGTGATAGATGGAGCTACCAAGTGGCAAAGCCTTGCCGATGATGTGGAAAGGGATGTTTGTTCAACGTGTAAAACTATGTATAAACACGTGAAATATTTGAAAAAATCAATATAAACGCTGTCTGTGGCTTAATCTGCCACTACCGTTTATTAAAATCCTAATACAGAACAGATTAGGGAATAAACAAATTGTCATTAGGTGATTTGTATATTTGAATAAAAATAAAATGAAACTCAGTAAGGTTGTCTAAAAAATATAGTAGGGTAAAAGTGATTTTATTTCGCTCGTAGGATTACACCACTCGGCGAATCTGCCTCGTGTCGCAACCTTTTCTACTCGCAAAGCAAAATGTCATTTTTACCCCTTGTTTCGTAAACAACTATCTTTGTGAGAACGTAGGCTTCCGCGGCCGGAGTCAGTATTTACTAGGCTGTCCGGGTGATGCCGCGTCCATGGCGAAGGTGCCGACGTTTTGGTCGCCATTCTGCGACCTTCCTCAGTGCGTAATGCGAGGAAGGTCGCAGAATGGCGACCGAAACGTCGGCACCTTCGCCATGGACGCGGCGTCACCCGGACAGCCTAGTAAAAATCTATCTTTGTATTTAGTAATGAATAATCAATTAAATTTTTGAAATTACAAAATAGAATTTGTCTCATATCGCCAGAAAACTGAACTATCACCTACTGACTTTTGTGTTGTACGAACATTTACCCCCCAGATTCACTACAACTCTGAATTTATTTATTGAATGAACACACAAACTGAAAGACGTTTTCTCAGGAACATCAGTACAACGATATCTAGTTTAATTAAAATTATTAAAAAGGTATTGAAAAAAAAGATGGGTTTTCATAGGATATTTCCTTAGACATTTTAAAGAATTTACTATTGCTAAATATATTCTGCAGGATATGCCGTGTCTAAACCAGCCTCGGTGTCCTGCAGTACTAAATAAAACAGCTGGGGGTAGTGGATTACCGCCTGATTCGATTGGCGCGGAGTGGGCGACGTGTCTCGTGCGGCGCGCCCATTGGCTCGCCTCCGCCACCGCCGCCGGTTGCACTCGCCGAGGAATGAAAACAAACGAGCGACGCCGTTTCGCCAAATTCCGGCGGCAGTAAAAAAGAGTGCGGAGGCGGTGGCCTGGCGACGCCGCCCGGGCGGGGCTCCTTCATTATGAAACGCGGCAGGCGGCGGCGGCGGCCGCGCCGGAGGGCGCGGGCGTGGGCGAGGACCACGGCGAGGGCGTGGGCGAAAGAGGAAGACTCTTCCGAATAGTGAGGGAGGGCGCCGCGCCGTCTTTTGCGCATTGATCCCTCGGCCGGCGTGACGTCACGTAACAATAGTGCCGCGACCTCCCTCTACACAAGGGGGCTTGTGCTTTCTCTGCGAGACCAACCCGCTCGTTAGCACGGTCGCCGGGGTCTCGCTACGCTGCACGGCGCGGCGTCGCAGGAAAATATAGCGGCCACAGGAAAGGAGAGGAGCTGAGAATATAGTAGACGTGTAATACAGTAGGGCAGCGCGATGTTAAATGCCCTATAACGACGTGTTGGTCGGTGACTAGCGTTCCGCGCGGCTACAAAGGAACACTACGCCCCCCTTACCATTCGTAATACAGTATCGTTTACTAAATCTGACCAAATAGTGATTTTTTAAATAAAATTTAATTTTTTATGCATATAACACTGGGGAAAATATATGAAATGTCTCAGAAAGAAATTATGTGATTTTGATAGAATTTTTCTCCTGAATTCAAGTATGATATCTGTTTTTCCCCATCCCCCAAGGTTTCCGGGAGATGGACATTTACAATTTCAAATAGTTTTTGCATTCTAACTACACAATGGTCAAACATTCTGACTGATCTAGAAAGTAAGAAATGATTGTTTTCTGCTATATTTCGTCTGTGGAGCATCCGTTTAATGGTCCGACAAGAATCGGCAGCATTGTAAGATTCCATTGGCTTTGATAGATCTTTTCCATAGCAACAATCTTCTGAAGAAAGTGTTCATTACTCCCTGTGCCAAGATTTTCTGGTAAGAAATTCGGTGCGTGTGCAGGAACTGTTCTTTTAAGCACATACATACTTGTATGATAACACACCTCTTTAAAAGATGCTATAAGAGTGTTGAGAATATTTTGGTAATTTTCCGCCTTTCGATTTCCCAAAAAACTGCAATATTCTTGAATGCTTGCCAAGCTGCTTCCTTCAGTGGGTACAATCGTTTCATCATTTGTTAATGATCGTAATTGTGAACACAAATAGTCCTTCTTTAATTTTTCCATCTCTAATTTTCGAAAATTTGTAGCTTTAAATAATACATAAAACCAGGAGTATTGTCTACGGCTTGGACGAGGTTCTTCATTAATCCTAATTTCGTATGTAACGGAGGTAGTCACACATTTTTAAGATTGTATAATGGGTCATGTTTCACATTTTCGGTCCAGAAATAAGTGATTCGCATTTAGGTTTCGCGTCTTTTTAATGTAATTTATTTTCTGTCCCTACTGCCTTATTCAGACTAAAACAACAGTACTTTGTGTAACCCACTTTGCACACTAAATAAAGTTCATAACACTTTTTCACTAATGGAGTAAGGTTTCGCCTTTGGGACTTGAGTGTCACTTCACCGCTTATATAACTAAATGTTTGGATTATTTAAACAGTCTCAGCATTTTACTAATAAGAAACTAACGACTAATTAAAATAAATAAATATGGAAATATGAAATACACAATAATTCAGGCACACAAACAGGGAGAGCTGGCTTAGGGCATCAACTGATGTCACTGCAGTCCCTCTGACCGGGTGGTCCTAGTTTCGTGTTTCATTGGTGGCAGGTTTTTTGGCTGTAGCTTGTCAGCTAGGTCGAATCCGATCACTGTCTGGAGGAAAACTCTGGCGGCCAGCTGCTCTGATCGATAGTTTTCCGTGATGTCCCTGACCAACACCAGGCGAATGTCGGAGCAGTACCGTAAAAGCGGGCCACAGATCGCGCGCGTTCTTTCCTTCCTCCTCCATGTCCTATCCTCACCCTTAACACACACTTACACTGACATGCACTACACTACCAAATATGCCGGAAGACCGGTTGGAAGCTTAGACCTGCTGGGGTGGCGCCCCGCTGGTGGAAGATACCTTGCTGGGGAAAGCCCTGTTATCTGACGGTAGGTCGGCGCCGGAGGAAGATCGCTGTCACCTCCTGACGAAAAAATGCACTACACGTATGATGACCTTAGTAGTTGACGCGCACGGAATCACTAGCAATCAGTCAACAAGCTAATAGATCATAATCCTGACGTCTGTGTAGAGTTGCAGCTCAAAAGAACGTAAACACCTATTTTAGGATCGAGGTCGTGTTGCTGACGTGATTCCAATATTTTTCTTCTGTATACCATAGTGAAGGGAGGAAAATTAATGATGACGAAAAGAGAGCGGAGTGGTGTTGAAGAATGAGTAAAATGAGTATAACACATTTTGGAAAATTATATATATTATTTTTTCTACGAAATAAAATAATAAGAATTGATCCTAAGATGAAGTACTAATAATTAAAATGAAATAACGACCATGTGTTGAGAGACATTTATTTTTATTTTTATTTCATTTTTGTACGATCACACTTTTGGCATCTAAAATTCACGTGTCAGGGATTTTGAATAAACAATCGGAGCCACCGTTTCCTTTAGCATTCATCCCGATGTGCGGCCGCGCGAAAATGTTTGGCACGCCTCCTAATTTCTCGGAATTCGTCGTTAGGAATCGCGTGAGCGAGGTGAAAGTTCCTTCTGCCTCCCCCCGCCCCCCACACCATACCCGCGAAGGCTCGTCGCCCGGGCCCTCCGCTGCCCGGAGACTTACGGGCTATTTTTGTGCCTCTGCCGGAGTCGCTGTTTGCGGACGCCGAACTTGGTGTAATGAGCAAAGTTTCCACTTCGCTTAAAACAAAATTGAATATGCTTTTTACCCACACGACTTATGAACACGCAGCATATTTTCCATTTAATTACAACTTTGTGTTTGTACTTCAGATTCAAAACCACTTCGGTGGCCATTTTAACAGATCATAAACTCAAAAATTTAAGTCAACAGAATTTAGAAACCTTCACTTTCTTCAACGATACGTTCATTCTAAATATTATATATGAATACGAGCGTAATATCTACGTACGTTTGCAACTATGTAGGAGAATTCAAAATTATCGGAGAAAAAATTAATTATTGGATTACGTTTAAATGTTTATTGACATTGCATGAGTCAAAATTGTAGCACTTGTAGCACACCGCAGACGGCCCAAGTAGTTTTATCATGATGAAAGACAGATTGTTCGTTCCTGATCTTCGAAGCAACTTCATTTCCATTATTGATCACAATTAGGAAGTAACTGTCAAGAAAGATAGGTTGACTATTAATAAGCAATGGCCGAGTGAAGTTTAACGCAGACCGAATTGGTATGCTGTTCTGCTTACCTACCGCGATCAAGAGGCCTATGTGGGTTTGGGACATAGGCCTCTCTGACAACGAAGGACTACGAAGTTCGACGAGGCACTCCAAGTGTCGTTAAATAACCAACATAGATTCTCAATGACTTTCCGCACCGGATTCGGGAGACGGATGGGAAGGGAATGTACAATAATTTGCACCAACAGCATTCGCCAAGAGGTAGTCAATGGAATTATGGAAACCACGTATCAGAACAGTCGACCTGGGAACTTGCCCGGCAGGCGCCACAGACATGCTGCTGTTCAATGGTCGAGGCAAAGACACGGGGGCTTGGAACACACGATTTCGACTCACTTTGTCGCTCGCAGGAATTGATTATTTCGTGTTTCTGGGCGCTCCAACTGCTACGGACATTAGTCCCGTAAGTGCATTTACTCGGAAGGTGATCGAGGTGGTGATGGTGATCGGTGACAGGGAAGGGAGATCGCGCGCACCCATTTGTTAGGGCACTACTTCGGCAATCGTCTGGTACTGATCGGAGAAACCACGAAAACTACGTGTGCTACAGCCGGGTGCTACAATTCTCCAGACGGCCGGAAACGTTCGGCCTAGCTAGTATCGAAAGTCCTGCCACCGTATTACCTCTCGGTTACAGGAACTGCAGTGAGATCAGTTGATCCTCTGAGCCACCTAAGCCGGTTCCCCATTGGCTTAACGCTCGCCATTACCCTGACTATTTAGTAGTTATATTCCGATTTACTACTACTTGCAAGTTATTCATATCTCATGTTGTATTTTTGACATTTCCTCATCAATTTTGAATTGTTTTCATAAGTGCAAGTATTTTAAATGTGTTTGAATTCATTTTGGAAGAGTCACCATAATGTTATTTTTCTAATACTGTTTGGTTATTATTGACATAACTTTCTATTGTCAAAATCCAATTACTTTTTTTTGAATTTTGAATATGTCTTTGGATATTTTTCCTTTTATTATCGGTATTTTATGGTTATATATATATATAATATATATATATATATATAATATATATAGTATAATATATATATATGGTTTATATTTATTTTATGGTATTTGACCGTCATGGATACTCACAGCGACCACAGAACAGAGCTTTTCGTATAACTTATTTATTAAACAAGAAAACAAAACAAATATAACACTTAAATCTATTTACACCTAGCTCTTGAGTAGGACCACTATTCCCCTGATCCGGGAGCGATCCAACCCGATTGAAAGAGGGTTTTGATCTGTGGCATTCCGCCACTCTCTTTTGAAGCGCGCACAAAGCCTAGCTTCCGCTGACCGGATTCAGCTTGGGACACAAAGTCCGTTCTGCGCACCAACGGCTGGTTTTGACCTCGATCGCAGAGCGATCTTATCCATGAAGAATTGGCGTTGAATCTGGCACTCAACCACTCTCCACTCGAGCACGCACCGCATCGTCCCCCGTGACCGCAGCACCCAAGGCATTACATCCGCAGCTTCGTCAACTAATGACTCCAGCCTCCGAGCCTGGCTCGCATATGCACGTCTTGGCGCCCAAGTTTGTGCACACGCACGAGGTTCTCCACTGTCCAGAACCCACCCACTGGCTCCGTACCACTCGTTATATAGGCGAGGCCCACGTGACCTACTACGTCACGCCACCTCCCCGCGCTTGTTATACAGTGAAAACTTCTATAAAGCCGAAACTCCCAACGCCTTGTGTTCTCCCGTCTCCGTTCTTCCCTTTACGGAAAAAACCCTTCTTCCTGTGGCTAGGCTAATCCGCTCCCAAGCGTCCCCAAATAGATGCCATGAGGCACGCTGGCTAATACGTTACAGTATTATCGGTTATTTTTCTCAAATTGCAATTTCAGATTAACTCGTACAGTTTTATCCGAACACACTTTTAAATAAATTGTTTTCTCTGTTGCAGAGTGCTTTTCGTACGAGATTGCCAACCAATGCAGTGAGCAGAACGGAACCTACTTTGAGCAAGTTTGCTACAACACCACAGAGGCGGAGAGGAACAACATCACAGGGAAGGTGCTGGAGAATGCGGAGCGCCATCCCCCGGCGGAGGAGTACTTCTCGTGAGTACCACTCGGAGCACTCGCCAGTAACCTTACTGTAACCCGCCCGTAACCCTTACAGTAATCTTCACAGGAACCTTTACAGTAACTTTTACATTAACCTATACAGTAACCTTTACAGAAACCCTTAAAGCAACCCTTAAAGTAAACCTTTCAGAAACCCTTACAGTAACCCGCAGTCACGTGACAAAAAACTTACATGGCAATCCAGTGCAAAAACGCCGCCAAACCAAATCGGTTCGATCATGTCTAGTCTATTACCACTCCTCCGAACCTCATCAATTAAAGACAAAACAAAATCTCTACTATGGAAGACACGTATCCGTAGCACTGGGACATATGTGTGTATGACCTGGGCAACGTCTGCCAAAGAACTCATAAATAATCAAAAAAAGAGCAGAAAAACACTTCATTAAGGAGGGATTTAAACCTACACCAAGAATTCCATCCGAAAATTACCTCCTTCAAACTAGCATACCTCCGATTTCATCCTTTGTACTCAAGAATGCGGCAAAACACACTGAAGAAATTTTCAGGAATCCTCTCTTGGCCCATCATTCGAAAATTACTGACAATATTAGAACAAAACACCCACCCATGGCCGAAAACACTCCCCTATTGATGCCCGCTTTCTTTTATCACCATAAGAATTAAAACACCAGAAAAAACCAAAATCCAGAAGCCATTCTACATCGTTCCAACTTCGTATAAAAACCCGCACAAAACTACAAACCACAACCACTATAAATCACAAAACTACAAATCATAACCCCACAATCAAACCGCAATGCACGTTTCCGTAGAGTAAAAAAAATTATCAAACCAATTAGTTTTCAAAGGCCGCATCTGCTATACAAGTGAGGTAGGCTCTCCATCAAAAATCGACATACAGCCGTACCCCCGGCGGAAGGGCGCCAATAGGCGTAGGCCGGCGAGCAAGAGAGAAAATAACAATTTTAAAAAATGTTGCGTCTTCAATTGTCGCAACGCGTCTCCAAGCACCTTGGGGCATTGAGAGCTTTGCGCTTTTAGAGTAATCTTCCATTAATATCAGCGGGGGATTAATCTTGCATTAATATTTCAGTATGTCATATCCGTCACGTCTCGCCACAGTCAGTTTTAAGAGGACCGCCAAGTAGCATTTCCGCTTACACGCCTCCTACTACGTGCCCATGCGTCACTTCTCAGAGGCTGGAATTGTGAAGGCATTAGGATTGGAGTAGCGTTTAGGACACTTCGCAGGGGTTGGACTATCCCTTGTGAAGCAGACAAATTAGTTTTGTTGACACAAATTTCACATGTGATTGACCAGGATTAGACGGGAATCGAACTCGGGCCTCCTTGGTGAAAGGCGGGCGACTTGAGTCACCAGATGACTTTTTAAAAATTTTTGTATTTAAGAAATTTATTATTTATTAATGGTATTAAACAGAAAATTTGACAGGTGTAAATTTAGTATATTGGTGGGTAAAATGCATTGGTATAAAGCATTAGAACTATTAAGTAATATTAATGTAGCCAATTCATATTTTTGAGAAGTAGGAGCAATGTTCTTCATGAATACAAGGAATGTCTTGCCTTCTCTTTTAATAAGAATAAAGTTAGCAGTGTCCACGGTCCTGAACACGTCTTCTGAGAGCTGCTTTTATGATATTGTTATTCCAGCAGCTTCAGCCACAGACAAGAAGAGTTGACGTTTCACACCATTCAGTAAAGCCAAGTTCTTTCATACACCCAATTTTGCCAACTTCCATATTTAAGCCCATTGTACAAGATCCTTGAGAGTGACAAACACTGAGTTTACTGGTCAATCAGGTGAATCAAATCCTGAGTTGTCAGCAATAATAGTGGGCAGCACGAATCAAATCCTGTGCTGTCAGCAATAATAGTGGACAGCATGAATCAAATCGTGCGATGTCAGCAATAATACTGGACAATATTTGCAAAGCACGAGGAAATGCTTCCATTGCAACATATTCTTTGCCTGGAGTCTTGGCAGCTTCTGCCTGAATGGCACTGGCCATAAGCTTTTCACTGCAACCTTCTCCACACATGACACGGCTCTGTCTAACGGTTGCTCCAAGAACACTTAATGCATCATGTAGAGAGCGTTCATATTCATCTGTTGAGTAGCACCACGAATTGTAATAGTTCATGCTTCACCAAGAGCTACATTTGCATTGCAATGAAGTATCTTCTCCAATCATCACCTGCTCAATACCATCACATTTACCCAACTTTGCAAGTTCTGGATGATGAAATGAAGACACAATATCAGCCCCAGTAATCTATGCTAAACACTTAATACCACCAAAGTCTGCATGTTCAATTGCCATCACATCTGCATCAGCAAACAATTGCTCAGAATAGTTGTAAATCAACTGCCTGTTGATAAAAACATTAATGTCCTTCAGAATTTTCTTGGCCTTATCTTTCATCTTTTTCTTCTCTGGAAGTTCTAGTTCTGTTATTTTAGCCATTTTATCGACACGTACATGCGATTCAAATATCTTAATTTTATCAGTGTCGTGGGAATATTGGCTATAATAATGCGTGAATTTTCTACTCTTTTAGGGTGGTGGAGCCCAGGCTTCTTATCCGAGAGGAAGCTTCATCCAAGAAAGAATCTTCCAATGTTCTTCCAGTCATTTTAATTATCTGAATGGCAGAAAGGTTGCCAGATCTTTGCAGACGTAAGACTACACTTTCAGCCAATTTTGCTAAATATTCCTTGTGTTGAGATAAGATTTTAGAGCCGAGAGTAGTTCGAGCTATGTTCAATAAATCTTCGTGACATTTGCTTTCATTATCGCAGTTATCTGCTAATGTACGATTGAGAACGTTGCGCCCAATCTGAGCAGCCCTTCTCCAACCAGCTCTAATAATCTGGAGATGAATTTTTTGGTCTATTAATTTTTCTGCCTCACGTAATAATTCAGCAGCTAGGACAGTAACAGATGTTGTTCCATCACCTACTTCATCATCTTGAATACGCGACATGTCCTACTAAAATCTTGGCAGCAGGATTATCAACACTTTCTGGATTGTAGCGCCATCATTGGTTATTTCTACTTGACCCTCGCCGCGATTTTGAGATACCAAAATTTTGTCCTTTGCTTTTGGTCCCAGTGTGCTATTTACCAAGTCACCAATTGCAACATCATCCACAAACTTGATAATTGGGCTGTTTCAGCTTTTTCTTCTTCTGCATCATGTTTCAAAATTCTTACTAGGTTTATGGATTCCATCGTGATTGGCATCAATACACATGCCTAACCCCATGCTAACCTCTCCTTGCCTCCCCTGAAAATACCATTGCGTAGTGCATTTGTCAGTCTCCACATTCTGTGCAAATGGCTCGACTTCACCATAGATTTCACACACATCGTAATAGTGATTCATCTGAAATCAAGCGATCCATCTTATCAGTTGACAAGAAAACAATTTCAAACTGAACTTATTTATTTCGCTTCCAAAGACAGTATTCTATACAATAAACCAGTTTGTAAGATATCTCTATAAAGTATTTCCTTGTAAAATATTGACTACTTGCTAATAAGAGGTCTTCGCTTAACTAAACTAAAAGAACTTCAAAATAACAGAGAGTTCCTCGCATTATTTACACAGATGAATCAATAAATAAGTCGCCAAACTCACTTTTGCGACGTATTTATTGACTCATGTATGTAAATAGTAAAATATGATAAAGGCAACAAAAATCAACGTAACTTCTGAAATTTATATCACTTTTCTACATATTTACCCTGTCGATTCAAACACTTATTCCATCTCTTTTGAAGTTCTTGATGGGCGGCAGCAAAGACGTCTTTTAGTTGCTGACGCAGCCAATGTGTAACTTCCGCTGTGAGGGCATCATCATTTCCAAAGCCTCGGCCACACAAATGAGATTTTAGGGACACGAACACATGAAAGTCGCGAGGGGCTTAGTCGGGACTGTAGGGCGGATGATCCAAGCGTTCCCAATTAAATGTGCGTAACAGCTCCTGCGTTTGCCGTGCTGTGTGGGGGCGGACATTGTCATCCAGAGGAATCACTCCCTTTGTCAGGAGGGCAAGTCGCCTGCTTTCTGTGATCTTGTCATCATTCATGGGACGCATTTCGAGATGCATTTCTTCTGTGGACAGTCCGTTGGCCCACAAAAAACGCCCGACCGCACGCTGTTCTACTGTTGTACACTCCTACAGCACACGCGCTATCTTGTGCTGGCTGCCAAGGTCTACCCGAATCCGAAACCACGGTGTCTCGCATCCTCTATGACAAGCATTCATGAGCTGCTGCGTACCGGTAAAATATGCACACGTTATTTAAAGGTGTATGGTAAATTGACGTTTGCAACTTATTTATTTGCTGACCCTCGTACTTCCACTCTCACTTCAGTCGGGGTTACCTGTTTGGTTTTGTCCTAACTCCTCCCCATCTATCGGCGACTGTATACCAAAGCCTTCTGGGGTATCTATTATTATTCATTACCACTGAACAGCTCTCTCGTCCTTCGTGAAAATCACGACGAAGCAACCTCTTGAACCGTTTCGGTCTTTGTATTATTGTTCTGGATGTATGGAGCCAGTTGGTGAATTACACAGACAGACAGCAGTTTCGGGCAGATCTCACACAGTTATCCGTCAGGACAAGGCATTATTGAAGGATTACGATATCGATGCGATAAACGAGGGACTGGGATTACCCTTCATGCCACAAACATGACTGAAAACATTAATACCATTTCCGGGTTTGAAACCCACAGACTTGCATTAACTTGGGTGCATATCCCCCAGCCCTTTCCACGAGACCAGTCGCCTAAACCGTAGTATTTACAACCTTGTTACATTTCTGTAAATTATTATCATTATTATTATTATTATTATTATTATTATTATTATTATTATTATTATTATTATTATTATCATTAATTAGTAAATTTGAGTTTGTTCGTCTATTGTGCTTTGCAACTTAATGACATTTGAATCAATTAGCTGCCATAGCAACAATGTAAACAAAGTTTCTTTATCTTTATCACTTACGAACCTTGTACTCATTAATCAACAAATTTATCTTAATAAAATAATTAACGAAAATGTTTTCGTCTCAATTTGTAGTTTTAGTTTTATTTCCTGTAATATTTACAATTGAGTTTATCAAAAGGTTTTCACATTTTCTTTGTTCTGGCCCCCTAGTAGTTAAATTAATATGAGGCATTCAGAATATAATAGCTACTTTCGTTTGGTCATTTTCGAGAATAAATACTTTTTTATTACAAAAAATTACATTTTTCAAAATACTTCGTACGTGGTTATTAAATGTTTGTTGGATTATACAGTGATTCACCACTTTATGAATAAAACTTAAAACTGTCTGGTTTACGTTTTACTTTTTGTAAAAAGTAATCTTTCGAATCTACTACACAATGAAAATGTTGTATAATTCTGGAAAATATGTGTTGATTTCTCAACAGAATAACATTTTGCAACACATTGCACTTGATAACAAAAGAATTTATTTTTCTTGCTCCTATACATAGTAAATTCCATCCTCATATACGTAATTCACTGGAAGTCCACGTTTTTTCAGTCCTTGTTATCGTAAAGAAGTTCTCAAAAGGTCTGCCTCTCCGTCAATATTCACCAATATTGATATTCCCTCAATCGATCTGGCTGATGCTGTGGTCCTTTCAAATAGAAACCAATGTATTAATGTTCGGATGTATATGAGGACGTAATGCTCATAGTACATTTTTCAAACATTTTCAATATTAAAAAAAAAATGTCTTATTCAAATGGAGAAAGAACGCTTGTAAAAATAATGCACATATTATTTTTAGTTAAACCTCAGAAATTTAGAAATTAAATAGTTTTTTATACATTCTCCATTAATTACAAGTACATTATTGGTGAAATATTTTCTTAAAAAATTAAAATTAGATCTATGTTGGATGTTATGAACAATCTTTTCAAAATATGAATAATTTTCATGTTATTTTGACTGAAAATGTGACAGTTTAAAAAAAGTTGGCATACAAGATTTTCTCATTAAAAGACTCCAAATTTTTTTTAATTTTCCTCCTGAAAAGAGAAAAGTTTCCGCGATTATATGTAAAGTTCATCTGTGTTAGATTTGCATTAAAAATGCATTGTTGATTGTAGCATTCAAATGAAGTCGTTCGTAGTTTCGGGCAACATTTTTTGACTCGTCACTCGCTCTAATTCAAATTGATTTGGGCTAAATTTTTTCTTCTATTTTACGTAAGAATTAAGCACAATACACCAAATTTGAGAGCAGAAAGAAATTTGCATGTAAACTTTTGAATTAAAAAAATATCCGTACAAATATTTTGAACTCTGGCGGCTTGTTTACCAACATTATTTCTTCAAGTAATTACTGGTTACAGATTAGAAGTTGCTCTATTAAGATATTAACCAATCGTGACAAATAATGCGAGAGCGTGTGCTGAGGTAGATTCACTACTTTTCTTATGTTACCAGTAACTAAATATGCAACACACACCGCCTTGGTGCGTTGAGCTCAAACGATTTTCTATGCCATTCACGTATTCTCTTGAACTTCAGTCTTGAACGTCAGTTCAACCGCAGGTGTAAAGAGGTCGTATTATGTATGGAAAATATTTCTCAATTGAAATGTGGAAAATCGATCCTAAGAGAGGATTTTTTTCCCCTTGAAATGCATACTTTCTCAAACAAATCGAATAAAGCTAATAATTATTTGCTATTGCCTGCATCTTTCCGTTCTCTTTGATCGTTTCTCCGATTAATTTCAGGCGAATGCTGGAGCAGTACACTAACAAACAGGCCACGGACCGCCCGCGATTTTTCGTACCCCTTCCTTGTTCTATCCTTACCCTTAACACACACTTACACTAACATGCACTACACTACGAAACATGCCGGGAGACAGGTCGGGAGCTTGTACCGGCTGGGGTAGTCTCCCGCTAGTGGGAGATTCTTGGTTTGCGAAAAACCCGCCAGCCGGCGGTAGGTCGGTTCCGGATCTCGCCATACAGCGCGAAAAGGCCACCGCCACGCCCGTACAAAAACATCACTACAACAAGGGACAATTACCCTAGTAGTTGACGTGCTCCGGTTTCTTTAACAATCTGACATTAGAATGCTTGCAGGAATTCTATTCATTCACGTATTCTCTTGAACTTCAGTCGATTCGTGACAGTCCAACCGCAGTCTGTAAAGAGGTCTTATTAGAATGGGAAATATTTCTGCCCCGGTTGGGGTGTGCCCTGCTGGTGGGAGATTCTTGGTTGGCGAAAAACCCGCCAGCCGGCAGTAGGTCGGCGCCGGATCTCGCCATACAGCGCGGAAAGGTCACCGCCGCCGCCACCACCACCACCACTACCACCACCACTAGTCGTGCAAAACATGCACTACACTTACAGGATCAATTACTCTAGTTGTTGATGTGCTCGGAATCACTAACAATGTGACATTGAACGTTGCAGGAATTCGGTGCTGGGACTATCCAAAGGAATAGAGGAGACGGGCGAGGTGCGCCTCTCCATGGCCATGTGTCTCCTCGCCGCCTGGGCCATCGTCTTCCTCTGCCTCTGCAAGGGGGTGCAGTCATCAGGCAAGGTGAGCTGAAGCGAGTGTCTTAAGGCATGCTCCCACAAGCACAGACTTAACCGAACGTCACTTTTACAGACACATTGTGAGTAGAACGTACTATAAACTCGAGGTTTATGAAGTACAAGTGTGTCGTTTTCGCAGTAAACCACACCAAAGTTCAACACAAACAGTGAACGTGTTTGTAATATGTATATTATGGTATAAAGAAATGTTCCTTTGAAACTGATAACTAAAAGTTTGTTAAAATTCAGTAGTAACATATTAGAAGAACGTTTCAAAAAATAGTATAAAATACAAGGGGTAGTCAGAAAGTAATCCATTCTATTTTTTCTACTTGAATAAAATTAGATAAGTGAAAATTTTGAATATGGGACTATTTCTCAAATA